CATTATAAATCCTCCTTAATGCTAGTTTTGCGCATAAGCGTTTTCATTAAGGTAAAAGTATGCTGCTCAAATTTACAGAATAAATTCCACTTGGTATCATTCATAATTACCTATTCCTCTATTTAGTCAACAAATGTGTAGCAAGTGCTCACTATGCACCAGGCAATGTTTAAGATGCTGAGGATACAGGAGTGAAGAAAATAAAGTCACTTCTTCATTGTGGTTTCATTCTAGGGAGGAGAGACAGAGAACAGGTGTGTGTGTGTGTGTGTGTGTGTGTGAATAAATGAAGCAGGGTATCAATATGGGGTGTCTGGGGGAAAACTGAGGCTAAAGTTGGCTATTTATTTAGTGGGTTAGGGATAGCCTCTCTGATGAGACATTTGAGCAGTGACTAGCCAGGAGGAAGAGATCCAGATCTGACTCCCACTGAGGTTTAGGCAAATACAACCAAAGGGACAGATGAGTGGTTAGTCACTTTTGTATACTAATGTTAATTCAACTATGTTTACAATCAGTCAAGAATTATTCTTGCTAAAAGTCTCAGGTAATTCATACTCACACTCTACTGGTAGGAATTATCTTAAGGATAAATCAGAAATGTGGACATAGATTTATGCCCAAAGATGTTCATCACAGCTTTATAACATAAAAAACTGGAACTAACCAAAATGTCCCTCTTTCTCTGACCTCCCCAACTTTAAGAGTCCACTGGCCATCTCTCCGCAGTTGCAAAGCCCTTGGACTTCTCTCTGTGCTCATGCTCTTGTGCTGTAGAGCACTTGCCTGCTTACCTGTCTACTTCCCCCCATTTGAGCTCCTTGAGCACAGGGGCACATCACATTCAGCACCTATCGTGGTGTCCAGCACATTGCAAGAAATGTGTTCAAAAAACATTGGTTAAATGTTGTCTGGCATATCTGTAGACAGAATATTATGTAGTCATTACAAATCATATTTTTGAAAAAAATTAGTGACAAAGAAATGATATACTACTAAGTATAAAAAGCAAACTATAGCCCTGGCCGGTTTGGCTCGGCGGTTAGAGCATCGGCCTGCGGTCCAGAGAGACCCGGGTTCGGTTCCCGCTAAGGGCACGTACCTCAGTTGCAGTTTGTCCCCAGCCCTGGTTGGGTCGTGTGGGAGGCAGTCACTCGATGTGTCCCTTTCACGTTGATATTTCTCTCTCTCTCCCTCTCCCTCTCTCTCCTTCCCACTCTATCTGAACAAAAAATGGAAAAATGTCCTCAAGTGAGGATTTTAAAAAAAGCATACTATAAAACTATACACACAGTTCGGCCAGTGTGGCTCAGTGGTTGAGCATCAACCCATGTTCAATTCCCAGTCAGGACACATTCCCAGGTTGTGGGCCTGTTCCCCAGTGTGGGGCATGCAGGAGGCAGCCAATCGATGTTCTCTGTTATTGATGTTTCTCTCTCTCTCTCTCCCTCTCATGTCCTCTCTCTCTAAAATCAATGAAGGGAAAAAATTAAAAAAATAAAAAACTATACACACAGAATAACCTCCATTATGAGACACCAAAATAATTAAAGATTTATCCAAATGAGATTAGGATCACTCTACCTTTTCCTTTGTAGTTTTTATTTTCTACTTTGGGTATATTAGCTTCATGATCAGGAAAAAAGTGAGTTAAATACTTAAGGAGAGTAGATTCTACATTTGAGCCTACAGCCATCACTTTGGTCATCCAAACCTTAGAAGATTCATTGGTAGGACTCTTGTCAACAGGCCTGTCCTTAGCACGTGGTAGCCTATATTACCTTGAAGGTTTGCATCCTCAGCTCTACCTCCCCGTTTCATCTTCCTCATCACCCTTCCCAGACTCTCAGCACTACATTCCTATAAAAGTAGGTCAGTTCTACCTACAACTTGAAGCTCCGTTTGAGACTTCTCCCTGTCTCAATCCATGTACTTCTTCTCATTCCAGTTTTACTTTCTCCAAGGAGACCGCTCTGATTGAGAACAAACAAGAACATTTCTTAAGCACCTGCTGGGGTCAAGGCAGGGGGATGGGCAGGTGTCTCTTTCAAGTGTCCAGTCCCTGTTCATCTATCTGCCTTCAGCATTCAACAGCAGAGCTTCAGACCTAGCCAAGTACCCAGTTCTCTGATTGAGATTCATGAAGCTTGAAGAAAATCCACTCCATTTCTCCTGCAACATCTTTTTTTTGGGGGGTGGGGGGATAAGCCTAGAAATGTTATTCATTTGTGTGTGTGCATATGTGTTTCTGTTTGGCTTCAGGAGGCCTTCTCAGCCTGGTTAGTTTAAAAATTGGCTTGCTAACATCTTAACACTTTTTTTTTTTAATTAATAGAAACTATAATGAAGTTTTGCATTTCCAGGGCACTTTCCCATTAAGAGCTCAAAGCTTGCCAACAAATCTTAGTTTCCTAGAGAACTAGTATCACTCTATAGGGGTGAGAGGGAAGGTAGGCATCTACAAAATACATTGCTAGATCTGCATAATTAAACTTGTTGCCATTTAAAGAGAACTGCCCCATAAAGCTGGTTTTCCAGGAATTCAACTTTTATTTTATTCAAATTTTTAAATCTTTCTATTTTTTTTTCCTCAGAAAAATCCTTGCTACAACCTACTAGGTTACCTTGTTCTATTATTTGTTGAAATTTTTTTTTTTTAATCCTCATCCGAGGACATTTTTCCATTTTTTGTACAGACAGAGTGGGAGGGAGAGAGAGGAAGAGAGAGAGAGGAAAACATCGACGTGAAAGGGACACATCGAGTGGCTGCTACCCGCACGACCAACCAGGGCTAGGGACAAACTGCAACCGAGGTACGTGCCCTTAGCGGGAACCGAACCCGGGTCTCTCCGGACCGCAGGCCGACGCTCTAACCGCTGAGCCAAACCGGCCAGGGCTATTTGTTGAAATATTTTAACACATGTTGCTCCAACAAGAAAAGAGGAATAGCCAGTTAACTGTGAATTCTGAATTCACAAGTGTGATGAGCACACACTGTCATTTCCAGGAAGGGGCTGCCCTACAGCCACTCCAATTTGGGACTGATCAAAAAGGCATGAAATAAAACCACCACTGAGGAACCTATGTCTATCTACTTCATGGATCCTCCAGGGCTTCAGGGGCCACATTCTGCTCCACATGTGAGAAACCAAGCCTCAGTGACTCTAAGAACAAAACTAGGAATGACAGCTATGGTTCATCACCTTGAGATACATGACCTCCTCTCTGTCTTTACACCACTGACAAACATTCATCTCTGACTAGGAAAGAGTTTTCTCTGCCTTGGTCACTGTATCCCCTCATTAGAGCTAATTTTGGGAATGGCATTTTCTCCCCTAGGCCTAGGTCATAACTGCCATGCCTTCCCTCCGTTGGCTACTTCAATCATCCATAAAGAACATATATCACCCATGCACACGTTGCTTTGTTACAGTTCTCATTTGTACAAAGCCAGAGAGAAAAGGTTTTCACCAAGTCCTCTGGGTACTAAAACACCTTGATATTAATTTGTACTGAAATAACTGGAGGACTAAAACCTAATCTCATACAAAAGGAGACCATGACAACCTTAACTTACAATGTAAAGGCCTTTGTGGGACCCAGGGATTATTTTTACACAGACAATGGCAACCTGGATCAATAAATTATACACCCTGTGGTTTTCTCATCAAGGAGCTGGTTATGAAAGGACATAAAATTCCACTATTAGTAACCAAAGACACACACGTGATGCTAGATACAGGCTGTCTTTGAGAAAACAAATCATGTACTTGAGAACACTGTCTAGAGGGCTGTGTATGAATAAAAGTGGCTTTACACAATTATTTGAATAACAATGTAATGATTTTTACACTAAAAATTTTAAACAACTAGAATGTTCTGCTTAAATCTGAATGTAAAATTGAACAATTTAAAAACAGAATTCACAGCCACAGATTTTAATGAATTATTTCTGCTCACTTGAGAAAGATGGGGGGCACTATATTCCATGTCTTCTGAAGACATTTCTATAAGAGTAATCAAATTGTGAAAAATGGTTTGAATTCCAAGAAACCATTCCTCTTGGACCAGGAAAACTGTGAACAAAAATATTTTCACAAAATTTCATTTTAATCATCTTCTTTACAAAGCACAATACTTAAGACTTTTCTAAATACAACTTCAGAAAATGAAGCAAAAAAATAATAATCTCCATAGATGCTGGTCGAGTCCATGCTGAATGCAAATGAATTTTTTTCAAAAGTGATACTTCTAAGCATCTCAATATTTTTTGACCACTCCATTTTGTAAAGAGTAAAGACAGTGGCTGTTCAGACAGTGGCTCATCCAGTTCCGTGATATAGAATCCTCTCGCTGGTTAGCCCAGGGAACAGTAATGAAGCTGGACATGCCAACTTCTTCGAGAATCACTTTTCCCTCTCCTTATCCAAAGAAAGCCAGTGGCCTCTATGAGGGGGAGATTACAGCCCTCTCCATTCTAGGTTTCCAATGCCCCAGGAGGGCACGCCAACCTCTCAACTTAATTATTAACAATCCTACTCTGTATACACATTGTATAAAACTATATTATTAGGGATTTTCATGATGAATAAATGAGAAATCCAAACATAAAAGAATCCAAGCCTCATTATCATATTGGGTGGTGGGAAATCCCTAAGGCTTCAAGTTTGGTGTAGAAATGCTTAGAACAGTAAGGGGTACGGGAATGTTTTATGCTGCTCTTGGAAACTTGGGGCTCCTGGCCCCAGGCACACTGAGAGCAAAGCTGCTGAAAAGACATGGGAATGAAGGGTGGGAGGTTTCTTTCTTTACACCTTTCTCTTCTCTTAACTCCCTTCTTTAACCCTGGCAGACCAGCTGTCCAGCCTTTGTACATACTCTGGAGGAAGTAGCAGCCTCATGCAGCAAGGATGAAAATGTAGGCAAGAGGAAGGTGGGGGAAGTGAGAAAGGAAGAGACTTTTATTTGTAATACTTTTGATGATCAATGACAAGTGGTGATTTTTTTTTTTTTTGCATCACTTCTTCAGTGTTATTAAAGCTCATTCTTTCTGGTTGTGAAAATCTATTACTGTTTATTACTTTTACTCCAAAACTCAGGAAATAGACAAAGCAGCTTTTTAGAAACACATAAAACATCTTCAGGGGCCATTGAGGGACCACCACCCCAAATCCCCAAACAATCTTGCAATACAGTATGTCCCCTTATTTTCAGCTAAAGATGAGAAAGCAGTCACACAGACTAAGGCTGAACTGTTCATTTCCTACAAAGGTAAAGCAGACAAGCAAACACCAGTTTCCTGGGGAGGGAAAAAGCAATTAAAAAATGCCAGAAAGAACCAATGACTACACTTCAACAAGAGCCCCCCACCTCCCACTCCCTTGCACCTAAGGAAGGGGTTACAAGAGATCGAGGCAAATGACATGTGAGTACAGTTGTAACAATAACACACACAGATAACCCAGTGCAGGAAATAATACAACTCCCCCCCTTGTTTTTATTTGCATTTTACTTTTATTTATTTTTGCTTTAATAATGCATATTCTGTTCACGCAAAAGGTGCAAAGGACAGGAAGCAGAGGTTTAACTTGGCTGATGAAAAATCAAGCAGGGGTGACATTTCTAGTTTCATGAACAACCTAAAACTAGGAGAACTTAAAAATCGCAGTGGGTACCACAGAGCAAGCCCAACTTCACAGCTGTCTCCTCGTAGGACCTTTGGCTAGAGGAGAGAAGCTTTGAAGACAGTGGCCTCTAGTGGACCTTGATAAGTGGCTAAAAAAATTTATTTTTGAATCATGGTAGCTGCATCACAAAAGTTCCAATCAAGAGGGTGGTAAAAAGAAGGCACAGATCATTGCAAATACCAGATTTTCTCTTTCTCTTTTTGTAAATATACCATCACATATAAGCTAAAATTGATCTCAGGGTGGTGGGGTTTGCTGGCAGGGGAAGGGACGGGATGGACCTAAAATTGCATATGTAATAGACTCCTACAGGGGACACAAAGCGAGGCAGCTTTCCGCCTGCAGCAAAAGAAAGGGACACTTGCTCCGGACTATGTGTAATACAAATACTGGGAGAATCTGTGACAAAACACGATTAAAAAATCATAAAATTATAAAGCTTGTAAACGAATAATCTGAAATTACATTTTATTAATGGAAAATATCATCAAAATAGTACCACTATGGACTAAACTGCCTGAGTTTTCGTTTCGTATGAGATCTCATAGTAAAAAAGCCTTTAGCACAATTTGCTCTGTTTAAGTCACAACCAGTGCCACACCCAGGACTATACCATGGGGAAGAGTCTCCTCTTGGATGGAATTTGTGTTGTGCTATCAAGACTTTTGTGCTAATCTTTCAAACAGGGGCATATTGAGGCAAATCTTTAATCATTTGGCACAAAGTTATTTTGGCTGGGGCGGAAAATTTGAGTCTTGGACTCAGGATGAATAATGCGACATTTCATTTATCAAGTATTCATTTTGATTGAAGAGCTTTCTTTATGTCATTAACTTCCATCTATAAAGAAAAAAAAGAAGAGTCAACAAAATCAGAATGAATTGGCTGGTCTGTTAGAAGCTGGAAGATAATCTACCTGGTTGATTGAAAGAAAATAATCAACCTGATGAGCTTAAAGGCAAAAATGGGTAAACTGACATCTGAACGAAGAGTTGATAACGATGCCAGAAATGCATAAACCTAAAGAACAGGCACACAGATAACGATGTGCCAGGAAATGGTGGATGCTTTAATTCTCAGGCTACCAGCATCCAAAATTTATCAAAAGCAACAGTAGTTCCTGGCCAGAGGGTGGAACAGGCTGTCCTGACACGCGGGACCACCTGGTAGTGTTGGAAGACAGCTGTGGTTGGGCCCAGTGGGGTGTCTGTTGGCACCCTCCAAAGTGATGACAAGCAGTTAGCTATCCTTTCTTCAAGCAGCATGGGTCCTAATCACCAATAGGGGCACCAACTGGATGAAAGCTGAAAGTCTTCCTTTGGCCATTTGGTAACAGCTAAGTTAGATCAGAGGCTGGAGGGGTACAGGGCTCTGGGGCTCTGGCACCCTGGCAGGACTGACAGAGCCATCAGGGAGAAGTAAAATGATGAACAGCAAGTGCCAAGTGTGGGCAGCTGTGGTCCTTGGAGTCCCAACGATTGCATGACAGAAGCCAGCTGGCAATGAGGTCTCCCCAGTGCCATGTCCTCTGGCAGTTACTACAATGAGGCTTCTGGAAACCAGGGGGGACTTTTCATAGAGGAGATGTTTCAGGTAAATTCCAAGTGAGAAAGCCAGTTGGGGGCACATTTACTAATGTCTCCCTTCCCCCCAAACCTCCTGGATCTCAGGAAAGGATATGAAGTGAGCTTATAAAATTCTAAGAAAACTGCCACAGGAAGTGTGCCTAAACCTGCAGAGAAGTAACAATCATATATTTTCAAAATAAAGCCCTGATGCTGACCCCTCCCCCAAATGCGCAGCAGTACCCCAAGGGACCCACCTGCAGTCGAAGCCGGATTTTCTTCTCTTCATCCAACTCTAACAGTAACTGCTTAATCTCTCGTCTGAAAAGCAAAGAACAATGAAATTAAACAAAAGTCCAGACTTCCCCAATAACAGATAAGAAGCCTCTCATCATTACACAATCCATCTGACCGTTTTACAAAGAAAATGCAGACAGAACATTGTTTTCTTTGCATTGTTATTGCTTAAAATGTGTCAGAGACGGAAAGGGTTGCCATTATTTCTGGGCTCCCAAAATATTAGTAATCAAACAGTAGGTCAGAAATGGCCTTTAAGATTCTTTAGTCGAAGCTTCTCCTAAAAGAAGATGGGGAAACCGAGGCCTAGAGAGGTGGCCAACTGCTCAATGACTAGACTCCAGGTATCCAGGTTCAGATTCTTTTGTCTTCCTTCTCTGCTATCTCGACTAGAAACTAACTATCCCTTTATTATAGAATTACTGGTTTAAAATTTTTTTCTTTATTGTTTAGAGAGAGAGGAAGGGAGAAGGAGAGAGAAATGGAAACATCGATGAGAGAGCCTCCTGCATGCCCCCCACTGGGGATCTGGCCCACAACCTGGGCACGTGCCCTGACTGGGAATCAAATTGGCGACCTTTGGTGCATGGGTCGATGCTCAACCAGTGAGCCACACAGGCTGGACGAATTACTAGTTTTTAAATGCACTTACATAATAATTTTCATTGTAGACATTTTTACCATTCCATATATATTATCTTCATTTCCCCAGAGTTTTAAATTAATAAAAGGTTACTGGTACATTTTTATGGATTCTCACAAAATCCTACAAATAATGATATCTAAAATCTCAGAGGTAAAATAACTGAACTATTGCTATGGTAATCATGTCATAGATAAAGTAGAGGATACACAGCCTAATTAATGCCCTCTCCAAACTTAAATGAAGTGAAACAAAACTAATTATTTTGCAAACCCAGGGCTCTATAGTAAGGACACTGCAACCATCCTAATTGGTCAGAGAGCTGTATTCCATTTTAGAGTATAAAACACTTTGTTTTACATGTACACCTTTACAAACTAGATTGGAAAAAAAACAAAAAAACCAAGGACTGCAGAAACAGCACAACAAATAAGGTAGAAGTTATATTGCATTTGCTCACTCCAGATGAGCACCAATGATGGTCCCTAGACTTGGGTCCATGTCCCAACACTGTTGTCAACACGTTAGGTTCACTGACATTCACCAATGTGACTTGTTACTATACAGGCATACCTCAAAGATATTGGGGGTTTGGTTCCAGACTAACACAATAAAGTGAGTTGTAATCTTTTTGGTGGTGGAGGGTCTTGCTTTCAATTTGTTAAAAAAAAAAATTAAAAACAAAAATGAAACATCGGTGAAGCTCAATAAAGCAAGGGACAATAAAATGAGGCATGCCTGCATGTATTCAAGCACATGCTATACAGTACTATCTCAGTAGGCACTACTTAGGGCTTAGAAAAGATGTATAAGGTGAGGTCCTAAGCAAATAGCAAGAATCCAGGAAGACAATGGCAGGCAAAGCCTCAAATGGTCCAGATGAGGGAAATCAGTTGGGGAAGGAGGTGCAAAAAAGTCACTAAGTTTTGAACTAGTAAAATAGGCCATCAGTCCACAAGGAAGAAGGAAGATGGGAGAATTGTTGGAGGAGAGTCAGGGCAGAAGAAGGGAGGTGAGAACCAGCATGTTTGGGGATGAGTGGAGTAGGCACAGACTTGAGCTGAAGGCTGAGAAAAAGGTGACACCAAGAGCTAAGGTAGGAGGCATAAAGGCCAGGCTGAGGAAGGCTGCAAAAGGCAGGCCTTGAAGAGGAGCCACTGTGACATGTTGATTCGAGATGACGGCTGGGGAAAGATAATTCTGGCCAACTATGCCCAGGCTCCACAGTGCAGAGATGAGCACTGGCGATTTTGCACTCAGATGCAGGCAATTTCAGACATTCAGGAAGGTTCCAGGCACCTTTCAGAGGGCCTCAAGGGCTGAAGTCCTGGATCCAGGCTGGTCTGACCCAATGGCGGTCCTATTCAGAAGGTTGAGAATCAGTGCTCTGGGATGTACTGGGGTCACTGTCTAGGCAGGAGACTAATGTCACTTGGGCACAGATGGGGCCTTTGGGTATCCAAACCTATAATGTGCAGAGCCAGATAGGAGGTGGGAACTTTAAGGAGGTATAGACAGCATGGCTGTCCCTGGGAGACCCTCTCTAGTTCCACCCTGCCTGTCTGCACAGTTATCTGATGAGCCCCTTCCAGGGAGGGGGTAGATCCAGCCTGGGTGGAACAGAAGCTGAATAGACCCACGGTGCTCCAAGTGAGTTCCATGGACCTCTCATCCTAGAATGCTTGCAAATAAAAGGGGTGGGGGGATTCTGTGATAAAGTATGTTTGGGAAACACTGCACGTGCTATCCTCTCCATCTTCCCAATGTACAGCAGAGGCCCTGAGCAGTCCTTCAGAGAAGAAATTAACTTTGTTTAACCCAATTATTCCCAAAAGTACCTGGCTGCAAAACACGTCAGGGCCTTCCAGCCCTGTGTGGGGAGGCAGGTGCTGGGGTGATCTCCCACGGCTGTGACTGTGGGTCTCTGGCCCCATCTCCTACCACAACTCTAGCCAGGCAATTCCCCATCCAGCAGGCCGGGTGCCAGGGATGCACTGACCCACCACCCACTGGGCCGTTCTGTGTGCCCACGCTGTTCCCTTCGCTGGAGTGCTCTGCTCTTGGCAAGCCTGGATCATCTTTCAAAATCTTACTCAGGAAATAATTCCTTGAGATGCTTCTCCCCACCACCCCCGTTCCCCAAGAAAGAGCTGATTCCTAAACCCTCTGTGCCTCAGTTTACTCAGAAAAGTACCTCCTGACTTCTAACCCTTTGACTATTTTTGTCACTGCATATAGTATCCTGGGTGATATTTACGAATGCTAGTTATTTTTGCTTACAGCTTTCTCCCCATTGAAGTGCTCCTTGAGGATGAGAGGTGCGGAGAGCGCATGTGCGTGGGTATGCACGGAAAGAGCCCCCCCCCCCCCCCCGCCCCGAGTCTCGGGAGAACATCTTGCTGAATGTAATATTTTGGGTTTAAAGATTCCCTGTGTCTTTTCATACATGACATTCCCCTAAATGTAAGCTAAGCCCTACACTGGACAGCTAACTGAAGAAACTGCAATTTTTCTGATGCTAGAGGAAAAGCTGGCTGTTGGGCTGATTAAGAAGTGGTACATGTGCATAATGTATTTTATGGGGATTTAAAGATCTTTTCTTGCCCTGACCAGGTGGAGCATTATCTCATACAACAAAAGTTTGTGGGTTCGATTCCTGGTGAGGGTACATACGTAGGTTGTAGGTTCATCTCCTATCAAGGCATGTACCAGAGGCAACTGATCTCTCTCTCCCTCCCTCCCTCCCTAAAATTAAAAAAAAATCAATAATAACATATACTCAGGTGAAGATTTACAAAGAGAGAGAGAGAGAGAGAGAGAGAGAGAGAGAGAGAGAGAGAGAGAGAGATCTTTCCTTTCAGCAGCTGGAAAGAAAGCACGTCAGTCCCGTATGCCCCTCGGCCAGTTGGTGCCCTTCCTGCATGCAACAGGCCCAGGTACACATGGAGCTGAGCTCAGGGAAGCCTCTTGGGTTCACACCCACTGCCACTCCCTGCTGCCACCATCACAGGGAGGCTGGCGCACCCTCTAGGGCAGGCTGGGACCCAGGCTTGCAGACTAAGCCCTGGCCCAGGAGAGAGTGACCCAGAGGCAGATGAAGAAGGGGCCCCAGACACTCACTTCTGCTGGTCCTTCATGGTCTCGATGATGCTTCTCAGCTCACGGACCTGCGTTCTTAGCTCCTCCACGGCCGCCTGGCTGCTGGCCACAGGCTCCATCTTTGGTTTTCCTTCCGTGCCGAACAGTGATGGGGAGTTGGCTCTGTGTCCAGCTGTTCCCAAAGAGGTCGACAGTGGGGAGGGTGCTGCCGATGACAGAGTGGCTGGTCCGCCACTGCCACCTGCAGCCATGGTCCCCGGCTTGGGCGGCAGGGGTGCTTTGTTGTCAGACACCTGTGACAAGGGAGGGCAGAGAGGCCTCAGGCCTGGGATTCGTGTTTAGCAAACCCGCTCTACATCACTGCCCCCACCTCCTCCCACATACTCCCTACTCATTCTGTCCCCTACAAGCCCCCAGGGCCTACGTGGCGCAGGCATCCCCCTTTCCGTGATGTGCCTTCCCTTATATGCTTTACATTCGACCACCTTTCCGGCCAGGTAGTTCCTCTCTGTTCAATGTACACGCCCAGAGTCCCACCTACTTGCTGGGCTCCAAAAACTCTGAATGAGGAAAACATTTTCCTGGCCCTCCAGGAGCTCAGAACCCAGTGAGATGTAGACAGACAGACCCACCAACACCTTGCAGATGAGAGAGGTCTGCACACAGGGACGGAAGCAGAGAGCTGCAGAAGTACATGTCTAGTGGGCACAGCCAACAACTGGAAGGGTGAGCTGGGCCAGAGAAACTGCCAGGGGAAGAGAAAGCCATGGGCGTGAATAGCACCGAAGTAGAAGAGAAGGAGCCCCATGATGGAAGCTGGGGACTTCCCCAACTGAAGAGGTGGGGAGAGAAGGCAGAGCCCGTGTGGACTAGGACGGAGTGGTGAGAGAGGCAACAAAGCCAGACCAGAAGAGGAGCCTGGGCTATAGAAGCGCCCTGCAGGAGTCTCCAGAAGGAAAAACAACAACAAAAATCAGTTGGATATGTAGGTCAAGGGTGCTGAGGGCAAAACTGAGGGGAACCCACTTGAGTGAGGGAGACTGAAACCTGAGCAAGGCAGTCGGCACCTGTCTGAGAGATGAGGGGTGTGGCTTGCAAGTTTAGAACTCTTTCCAGAAACTTGATGAAGGAAGGAAGGAAGGAAGGAAGGAAGGAAGGAAGGAAGGAAGGAAGGAAGGAAGGAAGGAAGGAAGGAAGGAAGGAAGGAAGGAAGGAAGGAAGGAGAAAGAGAGAGTGTTCGCAGAGAAGCCTCAGGAGGAGACAGGATCGAGGTTTTGTTCATTCTCAAAGGTGAGGAAGACCCTGAGCTGGAGGAGATGCTGAGGGAAAGAGCCTGAGAGGGCCAGGCTGGAGACGGAGGAGACAGGTGGAGAGGGCTGGATGGAGAAGTATCCAGAGGAGACCAGCAGGCCATGTGGCGTGGGCAGTCATGGGGTGGAGGGAAGAGGGGCCCGGGGCAGGCCTAGGGGAGGAGGCGGCAGCAAGGGAAGGTGAGATGTAGATAGGTAGGGAGGACAGGGCATTGGGAGGCGAGAGGGTGAGTGACAGGCAGTCAAGGCTGATGGTGAAGCTGCTGGAACTCGGCATAGCAGCAGACGCCCAGGGCGGGAGCCAAGAAAGGGCTTGGCTGGCATGGGGGAGGCAGTCTGGAGTCAGACTGTGCTGGAGGGAGAGACTGGGCAGAGTAAGCCAGAGGCATATGGGCCAGCATTCCCAGCCTCTCTGCTCGCCTTTTCTCTGCCAAGTTACCACTGAGGAAAAGCACTTTCTGCTGCCAGATAGGGATCAGCCATTCCATGCTTATTGTTTGTAAGAGTTAGAGTAAGAGGGAAGAGGGACTGACATTTATGGAGCACTGGTCACATGCCGGATGTCAGCTAGACAACTGAAACAGGGATCTGTTGGCACACACGTTTGACCGAGCAGGAAATGGAGGCTTAGGGATGTGGCTGAGAAATTCCCCAAGTCTCATAGCTAATAACCGGCAGAGCTGGGATTCAATCCTCTCCTCCTTCAGCTGGACCCTCAAGCCTGGTACCATGGCTGTGGCTGCCCCAGTCTGGAAACTCACACTCTTCTGTCTTTATTTTCTTTGCTTTTTTTTTTTCTATTCGTGAGTTCACACTTTTTCACATTTCCCGTCCTGCATCTCATGTACCTCCCCCAACCCACCAATGTCCTCACACTGACTGGCTTCCAGGCATTTCTTGAATGAATGCTTCTCTGAGCATTTCCTACATGAGCTGCTTTCCAGACCCATTTTGGCTAACAAGTGCTTCTTAAAATCCTCACAGAATAGAGGCCACCATACACCTTCACCAAATTAGTTCAAGTGGAGTTTCTAGAAGCAATAAACGACATGACATGACGGCTGCAGGGAAGTGAAATAGGCTAAGAGAACTGTGAAAATCAGAAACGTGAAGAGCCACTGCCCACCAGTAGATGTCACTGTAGTAACACCTCAAGGATGTCTGAGAGGTGGAGAACTCAACTCTAGGGCTATACCTATGGTTGCCAGAAAAAACAAAACAACCAAAAAAAAAACAGGTCTAAATCCAATTTCTGCAAATGGAATTCTTTTATAAAGGAATAATGCTTCGGTTTTGTGAATAATTACAAGTGATCTGTTTTTATGGGATATTTTTGCCTACTGTATCAGATGTTAAAGAAAATGTAGACATGTAAAATTTTAAATCTATGAGAAGGAAAAAATCCCACATAATCTTTGATTTCTTTGAGTTAATTCCTGCTTCAAGTGCCTTTAAAAATGACTGCAGCCCTGGCCAGTTTGGCTCAGCAGTTAGAGCGTCGGCCTGCGGACGTACTTCGGTTGCAGTTTGTCCCCGGCCCTGGTTGGGGTCGTGTGGGTGCCAACCACTTGGTGTGTCTTTCTCACATCGATGTTTCTTTCTCTCTCCCCTTCTTCTCCCTCCCACTCTATCTGAAGATAAATGCCAAAATGACCTCGGGTGAGGACAAAAAAAATGACTGCAGTTTTCTACTCGTAGACAGAAAGTAGTTGCAAGTATTTATAGGAAATAATTTTAACTGATTGGGTTGTCTTAGCATAAATTTCAAAATCTCAGTCCACATTCATAGGACGAGCAGAATGTGTACAGGGTATCCCCTCAGAAGCCACACACAGTTGCTAAACAATGTCTCCTTTGGTTCTCACAAGTCAACAACTTAAAATAGCTATACCATCCCCTGGGCAGGCAATAAAATTAAAATGTTTTAGATCATAAAGTCATCCTCATAAATTCAAATCACCTTTTAAGATACCACTATTAGTTATTCAGATTCCTGAGTTGCCAATCATAGTTTGTGACACCACCAGTTTTGAACGTAAAAGTCAAGATGCGTGGCCAGGAGACATAGTATTTAATACAGTTAACGTATTCTTTCTAGATACCGCTAGGCCTTTTAAGTTGTCTTGGCTTTTGAGACAGCGATGGTGTGTGAGGGCATTTGTGTGTATGTGTTGATGGCACGAAGAGGAGGTCAAACGACAAGGGGAAAGCAGGGGAAATCATCAATCGACCTTGTTTCTCAGGGATTCGGCCCAGTTTTGGAGACTTTGTAACATGCCTTGGGAATTTTGATGACTACTAATCACTGTCACTAAAGAATGACAAAAACTTGCATTGTCTGTTGCAATGGACGGAATGTTTGTTTCCTCCCAAAATTCATATGTAGAAATACTAACCCATTTTGATGGTACTTGGAAGTGAGGTTTTTGGATGGGATTAGTGCCCTTAGAAAAGGGACCCTAGAAAGATCTCTCACCCGCTTTCTGCCGCCTGAGGATACAAGAAGTTGGCAGTCTGCAAGTCAGAAGGCAGCCCTCACTAGAACCTGATGGCACCGGCACCCTGAATATCAGACTTCCAGCCTCCAGAAATGTGAGAAATAAATTCTATTGTTAATAACCACCCAATCTATGGCTCTTTGTTATAGCAGCTTGAACTAAGACATCTATTTATCCTTGTCTGGTTTATAACTCATCGGCAGAACATACATGAAAAGGCAGGGATCCCATGCTGTCGGGACGCCCTCACCATGGCCGGTCACTCACTTGGGATATGGTAACAGTCTTTGAAGTTTTCTTTGACGTGTCCACTCCTCTGTGTGCAAGCGAAACGTGTTCCTCTTTATCTTCTTCAGGACTTGGGGAGTCAAAGATATCAGGGCTTGAAAGGGAAGACTGGATAAAGCCAAAAGAAAATGCTTTTGTCAGAATTACACCTTAGCTGACATGACTTTTGTTAACATACTGCTGTATGCTTTTCAAAGCACTGGACACTTGTATTCTGTTTGTCTCCTCATTATAACTTCCAGGAGGCAGAAAGTGTGCTGTTATCAGCACAGGAGAGATAGTGGCAGAACTGGGGCTAAGAAGCACGATTTCCTACACGAGGGATTGTTCTATGGGATCTTTCAACTGACACCCATTGGTCATTTCATCCATGCAAGCATCCATCATCCAACTTTTCCTGTTCCCTCCATTCCTCAGAGCCTCCCTCCTTTCTGTAAACATTTGCTACCATGTGCCAAGCTCTGAGCTTGGTACTGAACTTCATGGTGACATGCCAGACACAATTCCTGCTCTCAGGAGGGAAGGACACACAGGTTGAGAGGAGGCTGCCTCTAACCTGCCTCCCCTTCACTGCCTCCTGATCCCTTTCCAGGGCCACTAAACCAGCACAGTGAAGTGCCTAAAAGGACTTTTCTAAGAGGAAAGGGTTTCCAAGGGCAAGAGGTCACCAGGCCTGTGGTCTAGTGACCACAGTTTCTCTAGTCCCAGAGCACAGTCTTCCTGCCAGCACAGCAAGTTCACACCTAATTTGGTACCTGCTGCTACATCTCTGCCCTCATTGCTAATGACAATCAACATCCATTTTGGAGTCTATCTTTGCAAAGGTATATTTACAGAATGGCGGCGTCTTTTGGTAAAATATGGGGATAACACTCTTACTCTTTCTGCCTCGCTGTGAAGATCAAAAAAGCTGGATGAATGTGAACCAACTCACTGGAATTCACTTGATCATAAATGATCACTATGCTAGAATTTTCCTAGTTTAGGACAAAGCAAATGAAAACAAGAGTTCCTGTGGCAAGGAATATTTTTAAATGAAGACCCTTCCAGAGATCACTTTGGGTGAGCTCATATTCAGCCTTACTTCTGTGCTTTCTACCTCTCTAGTGCGAAAACAGTTCTATATAGAATCCCCACGTGGCACCGTTACAGAAAAATTCCGCCTACAAATACTCTTCGCTTCTTCTGTGTGTCTGCTGACTAAGGCAGAAACCTAATACGTTTAGGAAATCTGTAAGAAAAAGTTTGAAAATGAAAAGATCTTGTTTGTTCATCTTTATTTAATCTGAAAATCCAATTACCTACAATAACATCCCCCAACGAAGCTTTCTTATTAATCTAAGCTTAACTGCTCAACCACCTTACATTGCCTGAATCCTTTCATTTTGAGATTTTATTCAAAAAGTTTCCTTCTACGTAACTTATGGTTCATGACCTGCCAATCAAAGCTTGCTCTTGGAATTCTATAAACAAATATCTCAAACTAGGGTGAGAGGTCCCAATGGGTACATTTCCTCAGTCATTCCCTCCTACGGCCTTTTAGGACCATGTCCACTAATCCCAATTTGCTATGTAAAACCTACAGGTGCTAATTGGAAGAAGACTAAATAAACATGAATTCAATGTACATATTCATATGGTGGTGGATAGCAATGAATGAAAGAGGGCATAGTGATTCTACTTCTTTAAAACACAAATGGTATCTTATTGTTTTAAATCCACTAATAAAGTTGTCCCATATAAAATGCCAAACTTCAAGTCACTGTGCCATAAGCTTCCTGTGGGCAGGGCCTTTGTATGTCTCATTCCCAGTTGCAGCCTTGATATCTGGCACAGAGCTGAGCCCATAGGAGATAGATACCTATACATATTTGTTGAATGAGTGAATGAGTGAATGAATAAATGTACAGTCTAAACACACAGCAAAAATGAAATGCCTTTACCTGGTTCCCCCAAATATATACAGATTCCCAGATATGGGATGTATGGACCAAGGGCGGGGTGGTGGAGGGTAATTTGCATTTCTTGTACTTAATTCCGGATGTCTCAAGGTCCCCTAGATCTTGAAAAGTTGGGAAGAATTTGGAGGGAAAACAAAAATGATGGAGGATTTATAGAGAAGATGTGGAAGGTAGAATTAGACATTTAAATACAGAGATACCTAGAAGCAATTAAATAGCTTGTGTGTCTATGAGACATGTTAGGGAGGGTGTGGGTAGGGGACAGGGAACGGGGAAAGAAGATGGTATTGACACAGTACTCTATATAAGAGGAAAAATGTAAGCCACTTTTTCGTGTCTTTCTTCACAAAAGGTGTCAATGCATAGTTAAGTTTGTTTCATACAAGAGGAAACGACTCAAACTACACTTCCAGACTCAGAAGATATGAAAGAAGAGGTTCAAAGGAAGTGGCCTTTTTTTTTTCTTCTAAATGATGACTGCTTAGAAATCATAAGTTCTTCTAAATGATGATCCGTGACGAGGTCCAAGTAGAAAGTGTCCTGGGAAACCTGCAAAAGGTTAATTCCTTGGTGTATCTGGGTGAAAGTATAAGAACTTAGACCTGCATTTCTAGTAAGAGCAAGGCAATGTGATATAGAGACAGAGAGACAGGGAGAGAGATAAAGATAGACACATATACACTGTTTGTGGAAGCGTCAGGATTTTTCTACAATGGTATTCACGTCAGTGTTTATAATGAAGAACTGGAAACAACATAAATGCTCAATGATAGTGCACTGGCTAGATCAGCTGTCGTCTATTCACAAATTAGAACACCAGGCACCCATTCAACGTGATGTTATGGAAGAATGTGTAATGACTGGGGAGAAAGGTGCACAATATAAGGGGAAAAAGTAAGTCCCAAACAATGCATACTAAGTGACTCCATTTTTGAAGAAACGATTTTACAGATACAAATAGAATTTTAAATAAAGGCTAAGGATACAGCAAGAGGTTAACAGTTCTTAGCTCTGGGGAGCAGGATCACAGGTAACTTTCTTTATGCATTTCATTGTTTAAATTTGGTACGATAACGTGTTACAGGATTCCAATAAGAAAGGAAGTTATTCAAAACAATCAAACAAACAAACAAACAAAAATCCTATGGGTTAGCCGGAGTGTTCTGACTGCTCTCTCCAACATGACCAGATGCCTCGCATGTTTAAAAACAATCTCCAAAAGGTCTGCATGGGAGAAATGGCCTTGTCATTGCCAAGCACTGTATAGTGGCAGAGCTTTCTTTAGTAGTTTTGTTTTGTTTACAGATCCATCCAGCCTGGTTCTCCTTTCCTACCATAAAACATGACTTTTTGTTTTTTTCTTACCAATCTCATTCCAGGTACAAACAAGAATCAGTCTGGAAGGAGAGAGAAGGAAAGTGGGAACAGGGAGTGCCCACCTGGCTGGCAGGCACATAAAGAATAAGTGGAAATACTGCTCGATTCCAGAGGACTCTCGAATCACTTTTGCGCAGCGGTGAATCTCATGACCTCCCTCTCCTGCTTGTCCTCAGAACAGTCACTTGCCTTAGAGTCCTTAACTAGAATCTCTAATGTTTCCGGTGTTTGAGCTGTAGAGAAGCGAGGAGACACTTACGGATGTGAGGGACTGGGATGGAGGCCGCCTCCCTGTGGCTTTTGGTCTGCTTGTGGTTGGGTGACTGAGTTTCTCAGTAGATGATACCACGGAGTCAAAACCTTCTAGGTCTAAAACAAAAGTAAAACAGATTTCTAAGAGCAACAATAGGAGTGAGGAAAGGTTCTCGCAACAGGCCAGAAAGCACGTCTTTTCCTTATCAATCATCCTTGATGCCTGGATTACATTTCATCATTTATGAAGGCTGTTTACATCCTCTGGTCATCCAATAAACATGACCTGGAACGAAGAATCATTTCCACCTCAGTTTAACAAGCTGACACGGAGGAGAGAGAAAGATGATTTTTATTCCCCTCTTCCACACCTACAGTCATAAATCTTGAAAAGCTACAGAAAGAGGAGTAAAGGTAGAATCCTCCCCGCCCCCCACACAAATTCAAGTTCATTTTGGTAGATAAAACATTCTTGCCGCCTCATCAGAAAAAACAGTTATCATGAGGTGCAACATCCTCAGACAAATGAATGCTGGTCATTGATTCCAAAAGACAAGAGAGCGCAGGCTCCTCCTCTGGTTGTACCACAGGACTCTGGCCATCAGCTCTCACCCTAATGTTAGACTATAAACTCCATGGAGATGGAGATCAAATATCTGCTTCTCCAGAAAATTCACAGAGCCTGGCACCATTCTCCTTCCAGAGGCATCAGTCAATGAAGGCATCATCTTCTTCGGTCAGCAATATGCTTATTCATTCACTCCATTGTGATTGAGCAACTAGTCCATGTCCCACCACCCTCCGCCACACACACACACACACACATACACACACATAACACACACGCACACGGCTCAATACCAAGCCTACACCAGTGAGTACGGTGGACACCAGCCTGCCCTCAGAGAACTCACATCTCTGTGACTAATGTCTCAGACAAATGTAGAATCATTCAGTCAGATTGTCGCTGTACCTGGCATGTGACTAGGAGGAAGGCCTCTGCCTGGATTTTGCTACCCTCTTCAACAAGTGATCAGGCCAAGCGGTTACCTGGATCTACAGAGTCTGGGGGATTTACAAATGAAGTGTAGATACATATGTGATGCACAGAGGAAAGGCTGGCTGGAACGGGCCAACCTTGGGACCCATTATTGCTTGTGACTGGGGCAATGTCATCTCTTCCTGAAAAGAGTACTGTGTTTCATATGCTATGCCAGGCACTGCCTTCCCAAACCATTTCTCATTCTCCCTTTAACACAGCCTCAGTTTTGTTTCAGGGCGATGTGCCCAGCCCCTGGGCTGAACCATGTCTGGTCTAAATCAATCCTGCTCCTCTTCGCCTGTAATTGGTCTGGAGATGGCCATGTAGCCCAGTTTGGGCCACTGAGAAATAAAGGAAAGTCTACTGAGAGCCTCTGAGAAAGACATTACCTCTCTGGCTAGAGTAGCAAGGGAGTGGAAGGCCACTGTGTGGCTGCCTTTCTTCTTTCCTGCTTGAGATGTTGTGAATGGATAGGATGTCTAGAGCTGTGGCAGCCATCTTTTGACCATGAGGGGAGATCATGAGAATGGCAGAGCAGGAAACTGGAAAGATCTTGGGTGACCAACAAGCCCGATGACCCACCCACCAACCCTGGAATAATCTAGTGTTCAGACTTCTTGCCACATGAAATTAATAACCTTCTGTGATTGTAGTCGATTTTAATCAGATATTTTTTATTTGCAGCTGAAAGCATCCTAACCCATAACTGCAAACCTGCTGGCTCAGGACAGAAAAGATAAAAATTGTGTGGTTTTGCCTCTTTATTTTGGGGAGAGCTCTTTTGTTGATTGTTAGAATAAGTGGTTTGGCCATGTGATGGCGTTATTGTATCAATGAGCAGGCAGGTGTTGTCTGCAAATTATTTCCTTTAGTGGAATATGCAAAACCAAGCACAAGTCACTGATCAGGATAAACCATTACATTACACCTGGGATTATATGAAGTGACTTTATTCTAGCGCCTAGTGAATGAATAATTAGTCAATGAACTCATTTTATCGGGGCAAGGCAAGTATAACCAAAGGCTAACTATCTGCAGAGATAGCACGAAGGAAACACCAGTGATGTCAGAGGCCAAAGGGGAGCCAATCAGCACCTAGCACCAGAGTGAAGCTCCTAAGGGGCCCCACCTCACAAACCTGCTCAGCAGGACTCAGGGATGGTCCAAGACCTCCAATGCTAGGTGGGCCTCTCCACGGCCAATTTACTGCCCTGAACCTCTCAAAGGCCTTACCTTTAAGAACATCTTATTTTCCTAAAAGTTCTTCTCCTGGCCACACCCCAGGACTCACCTCTACTAACTCCGTGTTGTCTGAAAAGAAAATTCCCCATTACACACTTGGATTGATGTCAAAAGCCACAACCTGACATTAACATCCTTCAAATTAATTTTTTAAAGTCGTATTTCCCGTGATTACAAAAGTAATACATGTTCAATGTATAATTAAAAAAAAAACACATAAAATTGCAACAGCAAACAAAAGTCAACCATAATCTTACTGCACTGGGATAACCACTATTAGCTTTTTGGTATATTATCCTCCAGACTTTTTCTATAAATATTCTAGTTCACACTATACATAGCATTGCATTCTGTTTATTTCATTAACACAACATGCCACAACTCTAACATATGTTTCATAAATATTTTGATTGTTATATAATCTACTGTATTGCAATTCATATTTTACTGACTCATTCCCCTATTATTGGATAATTCATTTCTGTATCATTCCGCCCTCCGATTTTTTTTTATTACGGAAAAGTGTCCACCAATATCCTTGTATGCACTTTGCATACAATGGGTTTAGCAGGTTCTCATGGCAGATCCCAAACAGGGAGAGGGAATAAGGCCCAGGACAGGGAGGTCTGCTCAGGGAAGGGGGCTGGTCGTGGAGGACAGGAGACACAAAGATGGCAGAGGAAGTCTGGGGGAAAGGAGAGAGGACACAAAACTGAGGAGCAGATGCTGAGCAGGCAGCCAGGGGAGGAGGGGAAGAAGAGGACCGTTAATGGTTCCAGCAAAGAAGGCGCTGCTGAGGGCTTGGCTGTGTGCTACCAGGGGCTGAGAGGGACCACCTACATCATGGCTCTGTCCAGGAAATAGAAGCAAGCTCTGGAGGCAAAACCTGAGTACAGCGAAGCCATTAGAGAACAATGAAAGGCTAAGTGACTCTGATTCCCCACCTTGAATGCACAGTGGAACCACCTGGACAAGTAAAGACTCATGCCTGGGCCCCACCCTGGGGACAGACTGAATTCGTCTGGGGTACAGGGTGGGCATGGGTAGGTTTTCAATCTCACCAGATGATACGAGCATGCAGCCTAGTAAAGGAGCATTGCTCTAGCAGAGGCTGGGACTGAGGGGAGAGAGGGATAGGTAAGGACTTGACCAAGCAAAGGAGAGGAGAGGGAGCTGGGGCAGATGAGAGATGGGGTGTTCCAGGGCCCAGTGAGTAGACAGACTGCAGGGTGGGCCAATTGTCAGGAATAAGGATCAATACTGGGCAGTGCTGACCCAGTGTGTGTGTGGGCAACAGAGGCATCAGAGCAGTCAATCAAACTGGTGACCAAAGGCTTGGGTGATCTGTGACAGGTCAGAAATACTGCAGCTGAAGTGAGAAGGAGGCCGGTGAGGTGACCCAGCATACAGAGTGGGGTGGGAGAGGAGTGTGGGGAGCAGGTGGAATGGTCTCAGGTCCCCTTGGGATGGACTCGGTACATGCACTGGTATGCAGGGACAGACAAGTTCATGCCCAGAAAACATCTGCCAGTCTTCAGGGAGGACTCTATCCTTGCTCCCCGCCCACCCTCCTGAAATAGTTACGTCTCCCTGGGAGTTGAAGGTTTGATGGCATGTGAGATGGTGGTCTGTCATAAATCACACTCTCTCTCTTTTTTTTTTTTAATCCTCACCCGAGGACATTTTTCCATTTTTTGTTCAGGTAGAGTGGGGGGGGGGAGAGGAACAGAGAGAGAGAGAGAAACATCGATGTGAAAGGGACACATCGAGTGGCTGCCACCCGCACAACCGACCAGGGCCGGGGACAAACTGCAACCGAGGTACGTGCCCTTAGCGGGAACCAAACCCGGGTCTCTCAGGACCGCAGGCCGACGCTCTAACCGCTGAGCCAAACCGGCCAGGGCATAAATCACACTCTCAAAATGACTTAGAGGTGGCTGTCCATTTCCCGCACTTAGACTGTGAGCCCCAGGAGGGCAGGAATTCATCTTTGAACTTTTGCTGTCTAGCACATTCCTGGAGAAAACGTTCTTAATATTCTGCAATTGAAGGAACAAGCGAACAACTGAACAAGCCAATGAATGAAAAAACTGAGGTCAGGAAAAAAAAAACTCTGATTCCAGGAGCGCAGTTTACAGAGGTGACCGCTAGTGGGACATGGGGCGGCAGCGTCAGGGTGGAAGGCAGCATTCTGTGCCACAGCTGCAGAGCAGGCTTGGCTGGCCCATTTCATTTTACTGGCTGAGGTCTGCACTAAAAAGACCCGCACACGCAGAGGCCTGGCTACACTCAGCCAGTGTCTCCACGACTGATGGCCAAGAAGGCTGCCTTATCTGTCACTCAAGAGGGCCAGAGTCCGGCAGGGGGAGCGGCCTTTTGCTTCTTCGTGCATATTCAGCTACGTTTAACTTTCTTCAGTGTGAGCTTATGAAAAGCACTTTTTGGAAACAACCACAATACCAAACTGCCAGAAAGAAAAAGACACACCAAGTATGAGGTCATTTGCTGAAAGACGGAACCTCAGACCCCGAACTGCAATGCACTTCTGCTTTCTGACATTCAAGGGGGAAACTTTTCAGTAACCTAACTTTTCGGTGGCACAGAGCACGCTCTCATGACTGTGACCATGGTAGCTGAGATTAAGGCAGAATTTCCATGACTAACCCATTGTGGTGGGAAGAAAATGTCCCAATTTTCATGGTGGTTTTGAAATGAATCAGGCTGAAATTTGATATGAGCTTTCTCAGCCTGGCTGGGAATTTTTCCTCTTAATAAAAAAATAGTTTTAATGCCCATAAGTCAATCCAAAACTATTGAACTGGCAAATGGAATG